GAGGACTTTCTGCCAAATGTGTGTGTGTGTGTGTGTGTGTGTGTGTGTGTGTGTGTGTGTGTGTGTGTGTGTGTGTGTGTGTGTGTGTGTGTGTGTGTGTGTGTGTGTGTGTGTGTGTGTGTGTGTGTGTGTGTGTGTGTGTGTGTGTGTGTGTGTGTGTGTGGCTCTGGCTCCCCCTGCTGGATGGATGGATTTCAAAAAGAATAACAGTTAAGACAATTTCTTGTTTGAACTTCTTTATTGACATAGCATTGTATTGTTACAGTAGCAGCAGGTCAGCAAGTTGCACATGAGTTTCAAATAAGAAAATTAATAATAATAACGACTTTATCGATGGAATGTAGAATACACCATAGAAATACATAAGCAATAATACACTGTAATATATTACTACAACTAAAGTATATACATAGGATACTGGAAGTGTGCAAAACAGTTGCAGTATTTTATTAATTCAAATGAAAAAGAAATAAGGTAGAGTGTGAGTATTTCAATTGAAATAAAGCAAATTCTCCAGGTCTTTCATGCAAAACAGAGTTTAGGTATTTAAAAAGAAAATAAAGAAACTATGGAGCTGGACCTTCGCTGCTAGACACATTTCAATACTTTCAACCTTCAAACACTGCATGCTGGGAAGTCCGATTACACTCTTACTGTGTCACCGTTTCTTCAGAAACCTTTTGTTTGCCGATTGTTTGGGAACTGTAACCGCAAGAGGCGAAGCTCAGGTGTGGGCCCTGGAGGAGAAGCTGACACCTCAGGCTGCACACACAACATCTCCTTTTCAACCCTTCATTATGCTGCATTTGGTCAAATCAATGTTATATATCATGTTACCAAAGTATATAAGGAACTAGATATCTAGGTGGAGAGCAGAGGAACAAAAGCATTTAGAAAGACTCACAGTTTGTTTATTTTTGCGCTCAGCAAATGGACATAGACAGGAGTTAGGACACTTTCAACCCTAAACACAAACAATGCCAAGTAGGTCACACATACTGTACAGTACAAGGAATTTGCATTGGTGTTTTGTTGCGCAATATAAACATTTAGCAGTACATTCATTCAATCTGCCCTTTACAAGTCAAAAGACTAATACATTCTGAAGCAGGTCTGAAAATAAGATAACATGACGATTAAACTCACTGATGTTTGACAGTGTGTGTCATAGTGTACACAGTATTACACATTTTAAATATACTTAATATTTTATCTTAAAATAAGTAATTTGCCACTCAAAGCAGTATACCTTATACTGTATGATCAAATGTGACACATTGATTGATTCAGTCTTTCTTTAAATCATTGATTGATTGTTAAGTTTGCTATCATGTACTGGGCTATAACAAAACCAATATGGTACACTATAATTACTTAAAATGCAAATACATAAAAAATGTAATATTACTGGTCCTCTAATACAGGCGGAAGTGATGATGCCCCCCAAGTATCAGTTGTATCTCCGATTTCTAAATAGAGTCCACGCCTCTTTTTACAGTGCTGTTCTGCTGAATTGAGAGTGGAGGGGGCGTTAAATACAATTTAAGCAGAAACACATTTTGCATAGGCTACTACTTGTGTGGGAAATGCCTCAGCAAGAATGTGCTGCAGGGAGGCAGTGCCCTCTGGGGCCCGGTGGAGAATCTCATGCCGGGACCTGACACCACATGTCTGTCTCTGCACGACAGCTAGCCCAGAGCATCAGAGTGTGTCCTGCTTTACATGCTGCCTACTGTACAGTATATAAAGTCATAAATCACATCATCACATACATTACCAAGGGAAATATTAGACTACATATCTTGGTGGAAGGCACAAGGAACAAGAGTTTACATATTCTTGAGCTCTGTTTGATTTGTCCGCAGGTCTTTTTTAACTGGTTAATCCAGTTGTGTTTAAATGCTGTTCTAGAGTGAGGCAATTTTCCAGTGAATTGCCAAGTAGCTCACAGGGAATTTGCGTAGGCGTACGAGTTCCTACCATAAACACAAAAAGAGGAAATAAAAACGTTTTTAAACTTTCTATAAACTATATAAAAGGTTTCTTTCAAGCGTCAAACAATGCATTCTGGGAAGTCTGCATATAATCTGTATCTGTGTCTTTGGCATTTGAATTTGTAAGGTAGATAAACACTGAGCAGTTCAGTCATGCAATGCACATTTTCAATTCAAAAGAGGGAGGATCTTGAATTAATTTCCCTAACTTGCTGTTTGTTGTTTTACAGCGAAGTAAAGCATTTCCAACCCTGCATCCGAATCTGGTTTATTGCAATACATGGAATGTGCGTTTGTGTATCGGTGCATTAAAAAAACACACAAATAAAAGCAGGTACAAAAAGCAAGAAACAAATATGAATAAATACTATAAATGTATTAAAATGTGTTTTAGATCAATTGGAATTGCAGAGAAGTTTTAAACACAGATCAGATTCAACCAGATCAACCAGAAAGGGGTCTGATTACAGGACTTTAGCTGTCAGGATCCTAAAAGCATCCGCCTCCTGTTGACCTGAGAAATATTGACCTCCAAGACACTCGTGCTGCCTCGACATGTCTGTCAAATCTGGGCCTGTGGTACTGTGGTGAAGGAACAGTCTGACATTTGATTAAACACTCATTATTCACTGTCAGTCAGATCGGTTTCCAGACCTGGCAACCCCATCGTCAGGACAATAATTCAGACATGGTGCTGATAAAAATCACAACACATCCACTGTTTTTTACATTTCTTGCTGTTAAATAAATTCAGTACATGTTCTAATGTTAGGTTTTTATTAGGGCCGGGACTCGATTAAAAAAATTAATCTAATTAATTAGAGGCTTTGTAATTAATTAATCGAAATTAATCGCATTTTTAATCGCATATACATATTTGACCTAAGAACAGTGAGAAGCAATTTTTTTTCACATGGATTTTAGTATACCATTAGGCGCATTCACACCGCAGTACTTTTCCCACAAAGGTTCATGAGAATTTAGTTCATGAGAACTCTTTGAACCTGGGGGAGGATTAGGCAAATGAAGCCGCTGACGTCACTTCTTCTTCTTCTGCTTTGGGTTTACTGGCAGGCCGCAAACCACTTCACGCCGTATACTGCCGCCCAAAGTCCCCGGCCGGAAGTCCCCGGAGTTGGGGACTGGCTTCAGTAGAAGCTGCTGGGAGTCCCAGCAGCTTCTACTGAAGCCTTCCGAGTAAATCGCCAGAACGCCGACACCTCCTCATCTCCACCGCTCCCATGTTTTATTTTGTGTTGCCATAAGTTAGTCTCTCTGCGTTTCTGCGCTGGGCTAATGCTAATAATGCTAATGCGAGGATAATAAAATGGCGGCTTCACAAAACTTTTTGCGAGTTTTACGGGGCGTGGTTTGCAATCCGCCCAGCCAATCAGACATATAGCTCTTTTCTCACAAGAGAGCCGTACGAAAGTCCCTGCTCTCTAGCAGCTCTCTGCTCTCTAGCAGGGACTTTCGTGGGGGTTAAAAAGGTTCTCATGAACTAATTTTAGTACCGGCTCTTTTTGGTGTGAACGCGATAATAAAGAGGCTAACGTCCACGCTAGCTTCCACGCTAGCTGCTATATGTTTTGCATTGAGGTGATACTTGAGGCTTGATGTGCTGCGGTGATATGCAAATTCCTTTTTGCATAATTTGCACACAACCGTGCTCTTATCGACGCTTCCATCCGTCCGTTTTTTAAAACAACATTTCCCACTGTTGTTCACTGTGGTTTGTTGTTGTCTGAAGTCATGAACGTTAGTTGGTGCTCCAGTATAATCGGTACGCCTGAAACTCATCCAGTGAGAAACGTTCCGCGGTGCAAAAATAAGTGCGATTAAAATGCGTTAATTTTTTTAACGCGTTAATTTTTGTGTAATTAATTAATCTTAATTAACGCGTTAAAGTCCCGGCCCTAGTTTTTATGTGTTCATGTTTTTTTTATCTACTACAATCGATGGTCCAGCCCATGTGCACTCCCCTCAGTTTTGTAATCCATTCAAGGTGGGAGTGGTCGACTCGACATTCCTGCGGATCAGCGCCCTGCGGATCAGTTGCAACCGTTGCAACAAATTCTCATTAAAACCGGAAATCCTTCAAATTAAGAGCCTGTAGTAATTTCAATTTTGTTCCATTATTCAACCATTATTTAAATCTGCTGGAGATTTTGAGGGCTTTTCTTTCCAATGAATTATAAACAATACAATACAATGTCCCCTGTGTAATTTCATAATTTTATACTTTCGTATTTGTAGTTAATAATAGTTTTCTATTTTATATTAAAGTACTTTTTTTGTAATGCACATAACACCAAGGCATATTCAATGCAAGTAATGAACTCACTTGGAATACATTTTTTTGTGATTTTCATCTGTATTATTGTGATTGTCATCTGTATTGTTGTATACAACACAACCCTACTCACCTGTATACAACAATACAGGTGAGTAGGGTTAGGTCCATATTCTACCATGTATACATGGAAGAATATGGATAGATAGATAGAAATATATATACTTTATTTATCCCAAATTGGGAAAAAAAATTGTTCCAGTAGCAGTGTCAACTATTACACGAGTTAAACATGTTTAAAAGATACAATACACATATAATAAAAAATAAATTAACATTGGCAGTAAGTAGATAATAAGAATACAAATGTAATTCAAATTGACACTAGCAGCAAGTTTATACAAATTCACAATAGAAAATACCTATATCCCCAGAGTATCTAAATAATACACAATATAACGAAATATTAAATAAATTGAGTAGGCTACTATACAGTATAGTATACAGTCTAGGCTAGAGGAATATATAGAAATAAACTATTGACACAAATATCATATCTGTAGTTGTTTCAAAAATATATATCAGGCTAAATACAATAGGTAATTGTGAATAGTTAAACATATTTGTAATTTAGTAAATGGAAATGTAAAAAAAAGAGGAAGAATCTAAGTCAATTATGTGTGACTTTTATTTTCAAAGGGTGATACCGGAAGTTGTGTTGCGGTTTGGTCATTTTATGTGAGCAGCATCTTGAAGCAGGGGAGAGAAGAAACAGCGGAGAGTGTCTGCAGTTATTGACACAGTATAATAATAATAATACTGGTTAACAGCGGCAGCAGCAGCATGAGCAGCGCAGGTAAGAACAGACACAGGCACCACATTACCCGGGTCTCCAAACTGAGCATTATACCTCTGACCAGCTGCTGCAGGCAGGCTTTCCATTGTCCTGCAAACATTTTTAGAAACACACACCTTTTTACCGCAACTTCTACTGTGTTTTATCGATTTTAAATGTATATGGTGGATTTAAACCCGGTGTCTTGACTGTAGAGTTTTCTATAGCTTCTGTGATGTGTCTGCACTTGGAAAAATGTCGATATGCCGTTACATTTCTATTAATAAAGTTTTTGTAGAATCTAACCAGCCTTTAAGACTTGTTTCCAATAACATATGGAATTATTATTTTCTAAAAGGGATTTATTTTAAAAAAAAGACAGGTTTCCACGATGGGTGTGGAGTTGCATTTATCAGAGTCCATTTGGTGGCTCCAGATTGACGAGAGCCTATCCTCCTCTGGATGATGACTGTGCACTATATCTACTTACAACTGTATTCAGATAAAAACACTATATTATGGACACATAGGCATAGCACATTCATTGAAGTTAGATTGCGTGCCATTATTTATAAAACAATGTAGACAGATATGCAGCAAAGTGGATGTAAATGTGAATATGGACACCAATTAACATGAATACAGTAATCTTCTTTCCCTCCTCTACTTCCTCCTTTTCCTGAACTCGTTTCCCATCCCTTCCTCACTTTCACCATATCTTTCTTCTCTTTTTCTTTATGTCCTCCATTCGTGCCCTACCTCTCCCACATACCTTATCCCCTTACTATACCTCCTCTTTCCCTGCCCACTTACCTGTCCTCCCCCTCCTTCCCTTCTCTACCTGCTACACCACACCTTCAAAATCTCCTCCTTCCATTTTTTACTTCCTCCTCAGCTTCTCTCCCCCACCCTTTGTTATTTGTTACTTCCTCTTCTAGCTAGTTTCTGACTTCCTCATCTCATTGTCTACCTTTACCTCATCCTTTTTCTTAACTGGTTCTTTACTTCCTCTTTTTAAAGTCTTCCTCTCATTCTCTGCCTCCTCCTCCTCCCTTATCTAATTTCCACCTTCTGACTTCACTCCTTCTACAACAAGCCTAACATATTTCCTTCTCTACTTCTTCCTCATGCCACCTATAGCTTGTCCCTATTCTCCCATTCTCTCCTTCCTCCTCATAATTGATCCTTCCTCTTTTCCTTTTCAAACACCTGTCCTTATCTAACACTTCCTCTCCTACCTCTTCACTTGATTCTCTACTCTTTAACATCTCTTTATTTCCCTTCTGAGCCTGTCCTATACCTCCCCTTTTCCTTACGGCTGTTTCCTAACCCCTTGTTTCCTTCTATATGACCTCCTTTCATACTTTTTTAATCTACTTCTCTACCCCCTCTTTCCCCCCAACTTTTTTTTACAAGCATAAGTTTCATTTCACTTTTTTATTTCAATTCCAACCTTGGTAATGAATAATATATATGTTTCACTGTTCTCCACGTTCATAAAGCCCACATAAAAAAACACCATCACACACATGCATTTCCAAACATTTGAACTACCTATGTTGCAAATGTATTATCTCTTCGATTTACACACGGCATATATTGCACGTCTGTCCGTCCTGGGAGAGGGATCCCTCCTCTGTTGCTCTCCCTGAGGTTTCTCCCATTTTTCCCTTTAAACTGTGGGTTTTCTCTGGAAGTGTTTCCTTGTACGATGTGAGGGTCTAAGGACAGAGGGTGTCGTATTGTCATACTGAAATTTTTGTACAAATTGCGAAGTCCACTGAGACAAATGTAACATTTGTGATATTGGGCTATATAAATAAACATTGATTGCTTGATTGACCATCAGAGCACTATGCAAAGTGCTCTTACAGTACTCTGCTGTACAGTAAACGGTAGTTTCCCCACAGCAGACACACATTAATAACAGCTGCTGGCGCATCATTAATGAATATTGTTTTTAACATTTATATTTGATTAGACATTTTCCAAAAGTCAAAATCATACGATCAAGGACATGGCTCACACACACATCACAAATAGGACAGGACAATAACATTAAGGGTGGGGGGTAGGGGGATTACAGTGTCAGTTACATTTTATGATGCATATGGAATTGTATTTATACATGATTTGCTTCATAATATAGATACACTTCATTGTTTCCTCATTATTATTATTATTATAAAACAATTTTTTTTATAGTAGATAAATAAATATATATATATATTTATATATATGCACACACATCTCTTCCTTTTCTGATTAATTGACCTATTCATCCATTCAGTTTATTTCTCTTTATTTATTAATATATTATTATAATTATTATATTTGTTATTGGCAGCCGAGATGGTTTGAGTCCAGGAAAGCGCTTATCTTATCCCAAAGCCTGTTTTGGCTTAACCAAATATAACCGGGAGAAAGCAGCTTCTTCCATACTTAAGATGTTTAGGAAGTCCTCCAGCCATCTCTTTAATGAATTAATGGATATTGTAATTGCAGTCGCATTCTCAAAGCACTGCAGTCTCTTTTCCTAAGTCCTTTTGAATTCTCCTATCCACTATTCCTTAACCCTGTGACGTTTCACACAGAGGTCAAGGAATAGTGGATAGGAAAAGACGCTAGGAGCTGATTTTTGGACAATTCGACTACAACCATAGTCTTGTCACACCTCTTTCTTTCCTTCTTTCACCTTCATTACCATCTCCTTACCTCCTCATCTCCTTTCCTTCTCTATGTCGTTCTTTCCTTTCATACCTCTTTCTCTCCTTCATTTCAACCTCCTTTTCTTTCCCACACCCTTTTCTCCCTTTCTGGCCAGGCTAGTTGTCTCCCCCTGTCTGTATACTGTTATACAGACACAAAAGAGAGCAATCTTCTCATCTAACTCGTGCAGAAACAAATGTGTAATTTTCCAAACTGTCCAAAACTATTCCTTCCCCTGCTCACTCATGCTGCATCCAGTCAGGTGTTTCCACTTTCTGATTTCCTGTTGTTTATTCCAGCGTATCCCCCCCCCTCTGCACCCCCGGCCAACATGTTTGGCACCGTGCCCGGCTATGAAGGCATGGCAGCAGCAGGAGGAGGTAAGAGGAGTCCAATCCACACCTTTTCTCATTAATTTCATTGTGTTGCAACTACTTACAGTGTGTCTTTGTTTGTGCAGGAGGTTACCTGCCCCCTCCTATGCCCCTGCAGCCTGTGGCCCCGCCCCAGCCCACCCCCGAGCCTGAGGACTGGAGGTAAGACCGACACCACCAGCCAATCATATAATGCTCGTATCACTGAGCATTTGGTAGATAAAATAGTTAAAACCATGATTTACAGAATTTACAGTGCTGCTTTGGACAATAAGCTTTTTTATTAATGGCCATCAATTGAAATGTCATCACTCTTTTTACCATGATGCAAACAAATGTATCTTGATTACTTAACCCGTAAAATGAAATTCCGGGCCAAAAGTTTTATTTACAAGTATTACAAGTCTAGGTACACCAAACCAACTGAGACCTGTCTGTCTGGCGCATCTACGCGCACACACACACACACACACTCACACACTCACTCACTCACACACTGAACCACACACACACCTACAGCTCCTAAAGCATATAATATATATCAGGCTACAGCCATTGTGTATTTTATTATGTGAAGCACTAAATGGTTTTAGAAAAATATCGACTCTTTGATTGTAGATATCTACTAAACTAAAGCAAATAAAGAGAGTAATGTAGGCCTGTTATACTGAGTGATATATATTTTACACACTGTTCTGCTTTCTGCATGGACCTCACAGCTGTTCTCACTGTAAACATTGCGTTGCGATGAAAGCAGTTAATAAAATAATATCCAGGGGATGCATGCAGAGCTGTCATTGGCTGAGATAAGTCTGGCCGTGCGTCACGACTCTTTTAAACATCACTGTTGCTGGAAATGCATCCACAGAGGAGCCATGGAGGACCCATCAGTGTATCCTCGGTTATAGCTCCTCCAGAGAGCCTCCTCGATGGCAATGCTCGATCCTCGGTCCTCGATGTGCATTTAGAGAAATGAGATGTCCTTCAACATGGCGCTCTGAAATCCATTTCCGGGTTCACTACTGGAGGACCGAGGAGGGGGAATTAGAGAAATGAGAAATCTTCTAATGCTGCACAATTGTTGTCAAATTGTTTCAATTGAAATGTGAGTAATGTAATATTCAAGTTGCAGGAAGCACAATATTTGTTGATGGATAAATATGTGGTAAAATAGATTATTTTGAATGATGTATTGTGGAGAAATATTCCGGCATATTAATCGTATTCTACAGATTTAACAAACCACATTAACTTACTTCCTAAAACTCACACAATGTTAATAGTAATATATTTTTCAATAAGAGATTAAATGAGAATAATAATGCAAAAATTATCAATCCAGCAAATTGAAACTAGCTACATCCTCCATAAATAATCTCTTCTCTTTTTGAGACTAATATATATTTGTATGCATGGTCCTTGTTTAATAAATGCACAATAATAATGATGTGATTCTGTGTGTGTGTGTGTGTGTGTGTGTGTGTGTGTAGCATCCCATCTCTGTCTGAGGATGATGCCCGTGATGCGTTCAAGGACTATGTGTCGTCTCACTGCTGCTACAATAAAGGTCCTGCCAGCGATGGAGTCATCACCAAAATGGAGCCGTACGACACGTACAGGGTGAAGTGATGTTCAAACTGTTTATGTTGCTGTTGACTGCTGCTATTGGTGGTGTGTTTGTTGCTTTAAGCTAAGGAAGGCAGGTTTTATTTGCAACATTGAGCAAACTCCTCGTAAAAATATTTCAGGAGTTTGACACCTCCTATGGTTGTCAAGCTTTAGAAATCTAGCCCATAGTTGCAGACTATTCCCAAACAGAGACCATTTCAAATACCAATTGTTATGTAATACAAATGCACATGCTTACTGTATAAGGAAAGCATATATGCCTGATTTGAGGGGGATTTAGGACCGAGAGGGTGAAGATGCAGGAGGATCTTCAAAAGCGGGAGTGTTCTTTTGTCAGGAGTCTGACATCACTTCACAGCAGTCTGTCAACAATTTAATGATGTCACTCTGGAGACTCACATGACTGTCATGTGACCTGAGGCACTCTCATGTGACACTTAAATGTAATAAATAATAATGGTGTAAATATTTTGTGATGATGAAGCCTCCTGATACCTTTTTAATTTGTTTTAGCGTCAGGTAGTGTGTTTTCCAAGCACTGCCAAAACACAGGTGGCGTACACTCGGTAGTGTGCCTGAATGGTAAATGGACTGTACATATGGCGCTTTATCCAGTCTTTAAGACCCCTCAAAGCGCTTTACATACTACATGTCGTTCACCCATTCACACCCATTCATACAGAGCAGTGTACCTTACTATAGGAACTAAGTAACATTCATACACATTCACACACCGTTAGCAATTGGGAGCAACTCAGGGTTAAGTATCTTGCCCAAGGATACATTGACATGTTGACTGCATGGGCTGGGATCGAACCCACAGTTGCCCACGATGAATGCCATCGTGTGTGTCAACCAAAGAGGATTAATATGCTGCTAATCTGCTTCTTTTACGAGGTAGACATTGTGTTCGACTAAAGGTTTAAAACGTCTCACAGTGGCCCCCACTATAATACCCCCACCCACCCCTCCTTATTCAACCTGCATTCGTTATTAGCAGTTCCCGGTTGGTATTAACCCTTGCATGGTTTGAAAAATATTGATTACTTTGATAATAAATAAAACTTAAAATGTAATAAATCTTATGCACGTTCAGAAGAGTGTTTTTTTTAAATTTGTTTTAATCAAATATATGGATGTTTATATGCAGATACTGTTATAAGTGTAAGTCACCCTGAATGGAAAAAAAGTAAGATCATAACCAAGTAATCTGTAATAAATTTCAGTTTTGTTAAATCGATTGATAACATTGAAACCATTGCTATGATTGTTAGTAATTTGATGAGTGGTACTTTTTTTTTTTTGTTGCAACAATAACATCTCTGCTAAGTAAAATTGTATTGAGGTTGCACATTCAGTGTTTGTTAAAGTGTGCTTTCTGCTCTGTAGTATCGACTGGAGACGTATACTGAGTCCAGGTCAACTGAGTGGGCCACCAAACCTCATGAAGGTAAACACACACACACACACACGTTTGTGCAACCTGAACATAACTCTTAGCACAAAAGGTCCACTAGTTGCTTTCCTATTTTGTTTAATTCATGTACGTTTCATTGTGTGTAAATCAGTGGGTTTCATCCGTTTTAAAGAGAAAGGCAGTTCGATTTTCTGGGATTTTCTTTCATCTTAGAAAGCAGGAAGAAAGGGTTTGGTTAATGGACAATTTGTGGTGACTTTATTGGTTGGTCACACACACTTCGTAGTGCATCATGAGGTCACCACTTAAGATGAGCAGTTGTTCAGGATGTTTAACCACCAATTGAATTGGGTTACTTATAAACCTTAAAACCAGGTCTGAACCTTCAAACAACTCTTTGAAGAAGTGAGTTAAAGTGGCAATAAGCTAACATTCCCATCCCCTCTATCGGTATTAATGTGGCTGCCTTTATCACAAAGACAAATGGATCACTTCCTGTTTTACCAATGGCGAAATATGTATTTAGACTCTTAGGGAAAAAGCAAGACATTTATTTTATGCTGCAAGTGCCAGCAAGTGTCGTTGGAAAATAATTGGCAACAATACACAGCGTGCCGTAAATCAGAATACTGATACTTTGTGCCGTAAATCAGAATACTGACCTGGTGACAGACAGAATTGACAGCTGAAGTCGAGGGTTATAGAAATCGAATCTCAATGTTAACTTTAAGTACCATCACTCTGCCATCAGCTGTTTTTTGATTGACAGGTTAGTATAACGTCTCTCTTGTGTGACCCACAGGTGAGCCGGCTGACTTCTACACTCAGACCGCCCCCCGACCCTGGGAGGTCCCGGCCACCGCCCCGAATCTCTTCACCAATCACACGGAGGAGATCCGCGTGCCCTACACCTCCTCCGTCAAGGTGATTGGTTAATACAAGCTGTCCTTCAAAGATAGCCATATTGCTAGTTTACCTACAAACAGCTGACCTGTGTAATACTTCATTGAGTACACACTGCCATGTCGGGTATTGTGAACATTTGTGTGTGAAAAATCCACCGTATATAGTTTTCTCAATTCCATGCGGCACCTGTGCCTTCTCAGGAAGTGACGATCAGCGCTGTTGGCTCGTTTTTTTCGCCTCAGAAAAAAAACCCTCATTAGGCGGGATTCTCAGCTGAGCACTGAAGGGATGTTGCTATAACTAATGTGACAACATGATGTCAAAATGCAAACCGCAGACGAAAAGGAGAACAGTGGAATCACAGACAGGCAGATGAAGCATAGAGAAGATCAAATAAAAAGCATGCAAAACCGAAAAATAAAATGAATCTAAAATGAATGACAGTGTAAAGTCAGTGTTTGCTATAGCAGCGGTCCTGGGCCCACCTGCGGCCCGTTGTCTATTTTAAATTGGCCCTCAGCAAATTCAAAAAGAATGCTTTTCTTATATTGTACTTCTCAAATATATATCCAAACATATATTACACATTAGTATTCACTTGTTAATAATCCCAGTTAATACATTCAGTCAAAGTTGAAATGTGTTACTAGCAAATCTTAGTTGATACCAAAAGCCCAATAACTTATTTGCATAACAAGCTTGAAATATACTCTTCCTATTTCCCCTTATTGTAATCAATTTGACGTTCCTGTTTTAAGGAATGAGCGGCCAACACTTTTTGTAACAAAATAAATGAAACCCTATGGAGAGCTGTGATGTAGGCTGTTGGTTTTTTCAAAGCATATTCAAGTATCAAGCATAATGTACCTACATTTTATTGATTTTGCTAACTTATAACTTATGAGGCAATCAGCTCTAGCTAGCTAGTGGCCCAGCCCTTTGCATGTTTTTCTGTCTGTGGCCCTCAGTGGAAAAACGTTGGACACCCCTGGCCTATAGTAGGCCTATATATCAGCAGTACATAGTACGCAATGGACATACTATTGGTTTTGAGTACTTAAAATATTCTTAAGCGTACTAACTAGCATGTTGGTATGGAATTTGGTTTACAGGCCAACTGTTGACCTCAACTTCGTTTTTATGTATTTTAGCTGATACCTGACAGCCAATCAGAGAGCTGGATTCTGATGTGGAATATTTTGCAGCTTCTCTGTGTCAGTGGGACTCCAACAGTAAAGTTATTTTTAACTGTGTGTGTGTATATGTTTGCGTGTGTGTTTTTTTTTTTTTAGGACTGCAACAGCTGCCATTCCACAGGGACGATGCCGTGTGATGAGTGTCATGGAGATGGATCTGTAAGAAGCCTTCCAACCAGGCAATCATTATCCCATCAGCTACAATAAGCTACAAAGTGATTGAACTGACCTAATGTGGATTAACTGTTAATGTTAATATTTCTGTGTGTGTGCAGAAAGTCTGCTGGGTGTGTAACGGCTCTGGGAAGAGAGGCGAGGAGAGCTGCACTCAATGTGACGCTTCAGGCAAAGAAAGGTCCTGAGGGGGGGTTGGGAAGTCCAGCTGCTTGTGACACTTAAACAAAATAGAAAATAGGTAAAACTATCCAGGGTTTTCAAAATGACAGACACAAATAAACAGCTACCTTATAAATAATACAACAGCAGCCAGCTGGAGAATCTGTTGACCCTGCAGACAAATCGTGTTTTAGTCCGTTAAACCCCCGAGTCAAATGTTTAATTTGTGATATTGGCCGATATAAATACAATTTTAATCAATGTTTTAAAGACAATTGCAACCATAATAATGATCTCTTCTGATACCTGGAAGAGGCAAATCTCAAACACACAGTGTGAAGACAGAAAATCGCCATTTCACTATAACTTTATTTGGACAGAAATGTAAAGCTCCTTCAATTGTAATTTGTTATCCAATAAACAAAAGTGAAATCAATGACTTGAAGATAATCAATCGAAAAGCGAATTTTATTTGAAAAATCTTCGGAAAGTTAGTGAACTAGGACACGAAACACAGCGGTATGGCCCCTTTAAATGACAGAGTCAGTACACTTTGATAAGATTGAAAAGAAGATTGTGAAACTTGTCTCATATCTGACTGTTTGTTTATGTTCGTGTGTAGGTGTGATAAGTGTGATTCTAGAGGAACGAAGGAGTGTGAAACCTGTAAAGGAAAACGACAACTGCTGACCTACATCCAGCTCAAAGTGGAGTGGTGAGTACTGATACAACTTTGATATGGGTCCTTGAACAGATTCCTGGACTCTTGGAAGAACAGTCCTTAAAGAGCTTTGCAGCTGCCTTAAAGAGTTTCCAGGGGTCCTTGATGATGTTTCTAGGAGTGACGGTGAAAGTTCAAATGGTCATTGAGGAAGATGTGAAGGGTTTTGACGGTCCTTGAGGAGGTTCCCTGAGATTGAAGATGTTCTGGTGGTCTTTGATGTAGTTCTGTGGGGTCTTATAAAGATCCAGAGGGTTGTTGTTGGTTCCAGAGGTCCTTCATGATGTTTCATAGTCCTTTAGGATGTATTTGATAGTTTTAAAGAGTGTTTAGCAGTTCTTTAGGAGATTGTCTAAAGTGTTGATGTTTTATCGGGTATAGTAGTTAGGGTTAGTTAGTGGTTGGATGTTCAAGTCTTTGAGGAAGGAGGAGGTTAAGAAGACAAACTATTTAGCGTCAATAAACTGCCTTTTTAGATACTGTCTGAGCTAAATCTTTTATTTAACTTCTGTCATGATATAATAAGGAGGATGCATTGATTTTCATAGTTTGGGATATGTTAGCAATTAGCAAAACAATTTGAAATCATCAGTTTAAAACGAGTACAGGAGCATGTATTTGCCCTATTAGGTAAACATGAGAAAATGCCTCACGATGATGGAACATATTTAAATGTACTTTTTGGAGCCATGGCTCAAGTTTAAACCCTGATTTTAAAGAATGCGTGATTTTTGCCGTTTCAGACACATTGTCAAGAGTCGGAGTGTCTGAGATTTGGCTTAACAGTCTATTATAAACATATTACAGCAGCCGAGATTAAACTTCTAAATGTATGCCATATGGATGAACACAGATTAAAAAGCCACACTTTTTACTAGTAAGACACGTGGGTTAAGAGGGTCTAATTGGTCCTGATGAGGTTCCCTGTTTGAAAGGCAGCACAGACAGATTGTTTAATGCCATACATTCTGACCCAAGGTAGCTTCACTGTAGTTTGAAATTCAAATAATTTGTAGGCAGTTGTGTGCGGCTCTTTAGTGACCTCTGGCTGCGTAAAGACAAACCTACACCATGTGAATTCAAATTAATACATACTGTACTCTGTATCCGATTCAAATAACTGATAACATTGTGTACAAAGCATATAGCTCCCTGCGTGCGTGTGTGTGCGACATGTTTGTGTGTGGAAACATGTTTGTTTATATATGTGTATCTGTGTTCAGGACTAACAATGTGGAGGACCACGTGGTGCGGCAGGACTCTGGTCTGGAGGCCGATGATCTTCGTTCAGTGACCGGGAAGGAGCTGTTTAAGAACAACCAGTATCTGGTACGCAGCACACACTCACACACATTTACACACATTACAGCATATTTCATAATATCCTGAAGGAAACTCTGACTCCATATCTGACTTCCTTCTTTATGGTGTTCAGTATATAAGTATAAATACATGGTACAGTGTTTTTTTCCTCTGTAAGTTTACCGTGTTTTTGCACAATACATCTTATACTACATTATGCTCACACATTAACATCTACATTTCTGATGTTACTGACGTATGCACTATATATTCGTTGTTATTTCTTTACTTTATTACAATAAATACTTTAATTTACCAGCATCTTTGTTGTCGTTTCCCTAGGAGCAGCGTTATGAAACATGTACATCATAAACAAAAGTGCAGTTATCTCTTCAGACAGGTGTAGCAGAGCTAAAAGGAAATGTTTCCTTTAGATTGTGCTACAAGAATGTTCATGTGTTAATTAAAGAATGTTGCTATTGTTAGCTGTGTGTTTTATTGTCAGTGTGTAAACCTCTCTCTGGCTCCTCTCAGCTCTACCCGCTGCTCGGCTTCCCCAACCCGGCCATCTCTGAGGCCTCTGAGAAAATGGTCCGAGAACACCAAAGCAAGTACGCTCAGAACGCCAGGATCCTGCAGCAGGTAAGTCATCAGACTGCGAGAAAAAATATAATCTCTCTTCTTTAGAGTCAGGTGAAAATATGGATATCCGTGTCATCATGTGTGTCCAGAGCAGAGATGGGCATTGCCATTTAAATCATAGATTGTCATTATTTTCTACTGTCATCTTTTAACCAACATCATTACCAGATCATAACTACTAAATGTTCATTCTTTTTTTAAGGTTTTAACCTTTTTAAAATGTCCATTTGTTTAAATAATGTCACTCTTTGACTAAAAGGAAACGCAACAATTTATTAAAGCTATAGTTACCTGCTAGTGTATGCATTGTCATTGGTGTATTACATATATACTTTTTTAAATATATATTCATATCTGTAAGGTCGATGCAAGTTTATTTATACAAGGCAATTCAAAGTGCTTTAGAAAAATAATGTACAAGCGTGAAAACATATTGTAAAAGGAACAAATTATAAAATTACAATTTAAATGCATTTTAAAACTTTCATTTAGAACCCAAAACAAGATACAATAGAATAAGAAAGATATATAAGTTAGAGTGTAATTAGAGATATGAAACACTTTTTGTTCATCTATTATGCAAAATCTACTTTTTCATTTATTGTATACATCAACATGTGTCCCCCTCTGTGTTAAGAGATTCAGGAAAAAAATTGTTCTCTTTTTGTCTTGATCCATTTATATAAAAACCTGTCTGAAAATGAGCTGGTCAGGTTTTGGCCACTTTATGATGTCATCTCGCAGAGGGGCGTGGCCTGCAGCATCATTAGCATTTAAAGCTACAGACACTGAATCAGCACTTTTGAAACAGAGGGGTTTATGGCATGCTACAATTATCTGTTTGGTATTTCAGCCAAACACTTCAGTGATATCTTGTTTATATATCTGAGACCTGTAATATATTGTTGAAAAAGAGTATAATATGGTACCTTTTTAATAAATATGAATGAATGCAGATTCCTTGTATGTGTACACAAACATTCGGAAGTTCAACATTTTAATTCTCAGTTTAGAGAATTCTCAGTTTACCATATTCAGACTTTTGCTTTAACGTCTCTGCCTGTCTCTCTCCGTCTCAGAGGCAGACAGTGGAGCTGATCCCCATCACTAAGGTGAAGTACAAGTGGAAAAGTGACTCTCACAAGTACTACGTCTACGGCAACGAGCGTATGGTGGACTGCGACAAATACCCTGCAACCTGCTGCTGTGTCATCCAGTAGACACACACACACTGTAACAAACTGTTATTCTGTTTCTTTTTAAACCTTTAACAAATCTCTACTCAAACGTTCAACATTTTTCTGGTGGTTCCCACATGTGGCCGGGTCCCACTTTTGCATATAAACCTGTATTTTGTGTATGCTTAAACACGCACAAATGTTTTCCTGTAATAAAGAATGAATTTTTTTAATATTATCTCAAATTAATTCAATAGTTAAACTTCAGTATGTAACGTTTTACACAAAAAGGAAGGGATAATTAACCTTATCGATATGGCATTGAGTATTTACATTTGTGTTCTAGTTAATATTAAAAAGTACTCAACACTAACTTAATACTCCTGTAGGGACTCCGTTTCTAAGTTTTTTTTTTGTGTTTCCATAACTATTCTGACTCTACCTCCTGCTCAGAGTTAGTGATGCTCCACCAGGTGTTCTAATAAGAAAACAAACATAATTTAATCATTTATATTGAGATTTTATTTATAGAGATTTTAAAACGATAACTAAATTGTCGATAACAAATAAAATAATTGTTCTACATTCAAACCACACTTTGGTATCCCTTTTTTGTCCCTGTATGGATACCTGTGTGGACCAACACGACCACCAACCAAAGACATGCCAGTATGTACCATGTAGTGTCCTCAGTATTGTATTGAAAGCGCATATGTCCAAATCATTGCTGTTTCAAGAACAATCAACAGTTTTGACCAAAAAAAGACTGCATCATGTGTGTGGGATCTGTGTATTTTAACAACAGAAACCGGCTCACCTGGTCTCTACTTCTCTTTTTCTACCTGTGGGTTAATGTTTCATGAAAGTAAAAAGGTGTTAATGGCCAAATGTATCTGCATGTGCTCATGAATATTTGATGCTTTGTGATATACTTGTAGCTTATTTTGAGAGCAAGCATGGTGTTATGTTTACAGCTGACTGTCTGTCTTGTCTTCAGCTGACATTCACTACAGGATGAAATGTACAAGTTGTCCCTTTTTAAACTGCCTTCCTGTTTCACACCAGAGCTCTTGCAGAGGGTGCTTTGATGATGTATCTGTGACAAATAGGACAATGCCACTTCATGTTTACAGCTGCAACCAGGCTTATGCAAAAAACTGCAATTCTTTACATGACCCCCATGCTAAGATGCTTACCTTTACAGCAGTAGTAAAAAATGTAACAGCCTGGAACAAAAATTGTGTTGGTCTCTATAGCTAATTTCCCCCTTCATGATAACTGTTCTTGGGGTATCTTTTTATATCATCTATTTAAATTATATTAAGGCTTAAAATGACAAATCATGTCAAACCACAGACTTTATTTCAGGCATCTAACCAAAAACACATTAACAACCAGAAGCTGTAGAATGCTAACTTGTTTCCAGCTTTTAGGACTCCTAGATACATGCACCTCTCTATTAGGGGTGTGGATGTTTTGAGTGACAGGTGCTATCTCAGGTCGCTAACCGCTAGCTGTCCACTGTGCTGTGTGACCCGGGCTGCCTTTATAGACCAACAATGCCTGGCTTTAGATTAGCCTGGCAGTTAGAGGTGGTGGCACTGCCAAGATGGCTACCTCAGAAACCAATTGGTGACGTTGCAGGGACTACGTCCATTTTTATGCAGTCTATGGTTTTAATCTTAATCTATCGTTGAAATATATGTTAATTTACTAAATATAATCAATTCCTTCCATCTTGCATTTTATAATATCAATGTTGTTTATCGTTAAGGGTTTAAGTTATACTCCTTCTTTTCAATAGAAAACACTTCAGCAGTCGACTGTTTATTTCATGAAGACAACCTTAATGTGACTTTGTCTAAACTCAAATGCTAGTGTGATGTGACAAACTTTGTATTGTGTGTAATGTTAATGCCTTAAACATTACTGTGACTAACACACAGCTCTGCTTCTAACCTGATGGACCTGATATAGCTAACTCTTGTTAGTACTGAATAATACTCTGGAAACAGCATGGAGCCCCAAAACTTGTTCAAGTAAAAGTACTTATCTGAGAAATAAAAATTATAACAAATAAATCTCGATATTAGAATAGTAATTTTTTACATACAAGAAATTTGCATCGGCAAATTACAATAACATTTTGAAACAATACTAGTATATAACATATGTACAGTATATCTGAATTCAAATGAAAGTGCTCTGCAGTGTTATTACTGTAAGTTGTCATGTGCAGAAATGTTTAACATTGATCGAAGAATGTGGAAAGGTTCACAGTACGAAGTATGAAAATAATATAGAACTCACCTCACTGATATAGTGTAAAATATGTTCATTAATATATTGCATAAAGACAAATGGGAATGCATTACAACAATGTGTACAGTAACTGTAATGGCAATTTCCTTTTCCTATGTCCTATATATTGTTGCCGTTACTTTCACAGAAGGGTTGAAAAGTGATCCAGACGCAGACACAAACAGATGATTTTCCGGTCCTTAGTTGTGGTTTATGATGATGTTTATTCGTCTTTACATACCAGGGTTAATTTAGCGTTCTAGTGATTCTATGAGCATCTGCCGGGCTGGTGGAATCGGTATGCTCTTCTCCTACTGTGTCCACACATCTCCTGTCACCTATGACCTCCTTATATACACCCGGTGTAGCTAAACCCCGCCACCCAGTGTTCATAAATAATATTGCACTATACATATAACTTAAATAAACTGACACACCAACATCACCCACAAAATGGCTCCTACACACCGGCCCCTAATTGGCTTTAGTATGAAAACAAAAACAATTACCAATAAATAATAAAGGAGCTATACAAATGGTGTGTATGTGTTAGCATGTAATTCTTAAATAATGTTTAGTTTATTTTCTTCTCCCTTATTTTAAGGGTCATCAGTCTTTGCTGTTCTTAGGTTGAAGCAGTCGTGTTGCCATCCCGTCCAGCGCCGAGAGAACCTGTGGGTTATATTTTCATCCAATTCCAAGCCTCTCCTTATAGGGCTCCTGCATTGATGAGTCAGTCACTTCTTCAGGTCTGTCACTTGGGTTCAGCCGGTGCCCTGCTACCATAGCAGCAAAATCGCAGATGAGCTGCTCGGTAACGTGTTTGTTGTTAGGCAAGCTGGGATTTTCTTGTCTGAATGGCAAGTCTAGGCAGTAGTGTCCATCTGACATTTTCACTTTCTCGGCCACAGGCTTGGCTTCTTCCTCAGGCACTGCGTCAGATTGGTGTAACTCGACATCTGCTGTGAAGTCAGGCATGCTGTGACAGGAGTCTGAAGTCGGCTGGCTTTCAAAAGGCTCGTCTTCTGCCTCTTCATAGCAATCACCTGAATCCCGACCCTCATCTTCTTCTTCTTGGCGGGCCTCAGTTTTGCCTTCAACATCCCTATCACTGTCTCCTTTGGCGTCTGCTACAACATCTCCATCCTCTTTGGCGTCTGCTACAACATCTCCATCCTCTTTGGCGTCTGCTACAACATCTCCATCCTCTTTGGCGTCTGCTACAACATCGCCATCCTCTTTGGCGTCTGCTACAACATCGCCATCCTCTTTGGCGTCTGACATGTTTGCAGAGTGATTCATAATGTTCAGGAATTGTTTGTCTTCTCTGGACATTTCCTCTGGTTCCTTGCTTGTATTTTCCTTGAAATCATGCTTGTATTGTTTGACCAATAGCTCCTCTAGGTGTACCATGGCTATCCGATTAACAGCAGCAGCAGGGTGGCCATTAGCATCTCTGCTGTCGTTGCTTCCTTTTAGGGGACCATAGAAGACCCACCCCAGTAGGGTCTTTGCAGCGTACGGTCCTTCTCCTTGGCTATTGATCAGCTCCCAAGGTTCCAATACCTTAGGAGAATTTGTCCCAATGAGTAGGTCAATGCCAGCAGCAATTTCATTAATTTTGATGTCCTTTAAGTAAGGCCATTTTTCCAGATCTTCTTGTAGAGGAATATTGTGCTTGGAAACAGGCATGGTTTTATGTGTAAACACATCGGATAGTTGAAGGAAATTGTTTTCGTCCAGACTCGATATTTCCAAACCTGAGATATGATGACTAGACACAATCTTTCTCTGATTCATTGTCTTTAGGAGAATGTTAGTCCTTTGTCCTGTAAGGTTTAGCCTCCTCATTAAACTTTCTGAGCAAAAGGTGGATGAACTTCCATGGTCCAGAAATGCATAAGTTTGTAACACTTTGTCCCCTTTGTGGCTCTTTACTTGTACTGGTACAATGGAGAAGATGGAGTTTTCATCACCGGCCCCAATGTGACCACATGTATGAGGTGAGATGACACTATTACTTTCCATTGGCTTCCCATTCTGTTTTGTGTGTTCTGCTTCCTCTCTTTTGCCTTTTTGTTCAATGTGGAGTATTTCAGGATGACTTTGATTGCACACATAACATGTCAAACGACTGTGGCAGTGTTTGCTCATGTGTCCTATTTTTAGGCATCCAAAACACACCCCTTTTCCTTTCAAGAAGTCCATTCTTTCTCTGTGTGTTTTCTTCAGGATGTGTGGACACTGCTCCAATGAGTGACCACTTCTTCTGCAGAACAAACACAAATGTAGGGAGTTGTGGCTTGATGGAGGTATTTTCATTCCATTCGTTGTTACATGTTCTAGTACTGGTGTTCTTGGGCAGGTAATAATTGTTGCAAAACTACTTGCTCTTAGGCTTGGGTTTCCCTTTGAAAAGGTAGAGATAACAGTTTTGATAGCTGCAGTTGGTTTATCATCCTGGATGCTTCCAAACAGAGGATCTGACAGTATCTTCACTTGCCTCTCTATGAAGCTAACAAGGTCAGGAAATGTAGCTCGATGCCCACGCTCTTCCTGTAGCTGACATGCTCTATTCCTCCACTTGTCTCTGAATTTGTAGGGTAGTTTCTGAAGTATGTGTTTCATGTTTGAAACAACATTCATTTCATCCATATAGGTGAGATGTTCCATTGCATTGCAACAACCTCTTAGGAACAAAGAGAAGGCTTGCAGTGCTTTCACATCTTCGGCTTTGATCATTGTCCAGGTAAATGCTTTGTTCATGTATGCAGTGGCGATCTTATGTTCATTACCAAAGTGCTCTTTAAGCAGCTGTTTTGCCCTTTGATAACCTTGAGCTGGAGGCAGATGTTGGCAGCTGCGCACTAGGTCCTGTGGTTGTCCTCTAGTGTATTGCTCTAGGTAATGCAGGCAGTCACTTTCATCATTAGTTTTCCGCTCTACTCCTCTTTCAAATGCACGGATGAAAGCTTCAAACTGCAATGGGTCACCGTCATAAACAGGAATGTCTCTTGGAGGTAAAGTAGAAGTGAGATGTTGTTGAGCCAGCATAGCAGTGTTGTCATTTTGCCTCTGGATTAGGTTATAGATGTCACCTTGATTACCATTGTTGATTACAGGTGGTGTGATGTCAACATGTCCCTGCACATGTGTCTGTATACTTTGTCTGGGAATAGAGGTGTGGGCTTGATGAGGCAAGAATTCAGTGGCCTGTACGTTAAATCTTGCTGTAGGGTTTCTGTAGTAAGAGCTCATCCCATCTGATGCTCTAGAGGTGTGTCTTGATCCCATGCTGAGCATGTTTAGCCTGGCATTGGCTTCTGCCAGCTTAGTTTGTATATCCAGTTGTTCCTTTTTACCTGTTCTTCCTGTTGTTCCAACTGTTGTTTCTGTTGTTCCAACTGTTGTTCCTGTTGTTGTTTCTGTTGTTCCAACTGTTGTTCCTGTTGTTGTTTCTGTTGTTCCAACTGTTGTTTCAACTGTTGTTTCTGTTGTTGTTTCTGTTGTTCCAACTGTTGTTTCTGGTGTTTTAATTGTTCCCCTTCTACATCAAGCTCATGTTGTTTGTTCAGTGCTGCCGCCCTTTCGATTAAAGCCGCCCTTTCTGCCTGGGCTTTAATTCGAGCAGAAGAGGTAGATGATGCGTGTGATGAACCAGGTTTGTATTTTGACTGAGGGTGTGATGCCTTTGAAATGCTGTCATCAGGTCCGATGTCATCTGAGCTGACACTTTGTTCTATGGCACTTCCCACAATAGAGTGTCTATTTGCCTGTCCACTCTCAGATAACCACACATTTGCATCTTGTATAAATCCATCAAATATATGCATCTTTTCTTGCAGCCACTGCCTTTGCTTTCCCATTTCTTCTTCAGGCAGTTGAAGGTCAGTTAATGATTTGTGATTTGCTTTTAGTTCATCACACAACTTCTTAAATTCAACCAGTTTCAACTGTATTTCCTTTGCATTGTCTTCTGATCTCATAAGCTCTTTCAGTACTTCCATTAACTTCTTTACTTGTTTGTAACTGAAGTTTCTTGCTTTTTGGCAGTTTGCAATAAACAATTCCAATCCTTTGGCAGTGTGAGTGATAATCCTTTTTTCTCTCACAGATTGCAGTCCAACAGCGCCATCTTGTGACGTGACGTCAGATGTCACAGACATGATTAATGTTCACTGTCCCTTTAAGTTTCGTTCTCAGGAATTGTCCGTTAGCTGACAGCGCGCTGTTTCAAACAGCTGACAATGTTGCAGCACCACATCCATTTACTAAGCCATTGTCCAATACAACTTAATATCTCTTTTACAATCTACTTATCACGCTGCACGGTGCACATACCCAGTCCTCTCTCAGCCTCTTCGGTCCTCCAGGTGGGAACAATCTCCAGCTAATTGTGGCGTGTGCAGCTGATCCGTGATGAGAAGTCGATGGTGCAATAATCCAATTATTTGTTTTCCCCGAAAACGATCCTTAATCCAATTTGAAGTAAATCCAATTGTCCAGTTTCACTCAAAAGTACGATTCCACTTAATGTAATGGCAATTTCCTTTTCCTATGTCCTATATATTTTTGCCGTTACTTTCACAGAAGGGTTGAAAAGTGATCCAGACGCAGACACAAACAGATGATTTTCCGGTCCTTAGTTATGATTTATGATGATGTTTATTCGTCTTTACATACCAGGGTTAATTTAGCGTTCTAGTGATTCTATGAGCATCTGCCGGGCTGGTGGAATCGGTATGCTCTTCTCCTACTGTGTCCCCCCCCCCCTCTCCTGTCAC